GGGGGGGGGATTTTTATTGAGCATCTCGGTCTTTCTGCTAGGATGTTGTGTACTTTTCAGAGATCTAAATTGTGTGGATGAGGTGTAAAACGTGCTCCATTATAAAAAAGTTTCCACTAACTTTTGTGTGCAGTGTCTGCGAAAACAGTTCACATGTCATCAAAGATTTAAACTGAGAAATCAGAGGTTCTTGACTGAGCAAGCAATCCTTAAAATGCTGCTTGTAAATTTTTCTACTATTATATTCATTTTTTGGCTCCGTAACTTTGTTCTAGGTACAGTAGTGTCCGCCTAAACGCACGGTGCTCGGGACGGCTACTTAGCGTGTGTTTGTACGGAGCGTGCGTTTACATGAACTTTTGCAAAGGAAGGGACGCAGTCATCTCAATTCCGTATTACTCTAGTGACCTCCCTTGGAGGGTTGGGGTCATTTTAGCTGATACTGTGACGACATGAGACAGTTTGGTGAAGGATTCCCCAACTGGGGTTAAGAATACAAAGGCGTTGAAAGGGGGGTGGGGGGAGAAAGACAGACTCAATGTAATAAATGCGCCATAAAATGTCGGGAACAGATAGCCTAAGAGGAAACTGTTGGTGATAGTCATAGAGACGACGGCCGAGCCACGTGGCTTTCCAAGCGACCATCCACGACCGTAAATTCATGGACGACATCAGAATCATAGTCTCTATATTCAGAAAAAAATTTCTTTTATGATTCGTTGAAAAAGTTCGTCATAAGTCCTTGGAGCGCAGCTGATTAGGCTTACTTGGCTAATCTTTAATCCTATAGAGGCCTGTCTAGTGTTTTACGGCATTTACGCGTGTCGGGCATCAGGCCTAGTTCTAACTAAATATTACATGCAGTCACTCAAACTCCACTTAGAAACCTCTCAAAGCTACATTTCCAATCAAAAAACATTTCAGTTCCCCGATCCCCCCCGCCCCCACCAACTTTTCACCGACCAGCCCTAGACCTATATAGTAGAACTCGGATTCAACGAGGTCGCCAGGCCTGGCCTAAAACCTCCTTGAATCCGAGTGTTCGTTATAGCAAACATAAGGTTTTGTGTAGATAATTACAGGCACTGAGCAAGTAATGTATAAAGAGAAGTCACAAGTAGTGCCTGAAATGCCTGCATATTATAAGCTGTGCAAAAAAAAAAAGACCGATTCGTTCAAATGTACACACCTGTGTCATCTCGATTGTTTCCAAAAAGTTGTGTTGCTGTGAAGAGCCTAGCATACGGCAACTTTTGATTCCATAGACCAGCGCACAATTCATTACGTAGATCTACGTCAAGACTAGGCTAGTTTATCATTGTAATAATGATCAGTTGCCTAGAGAAAAAAAAAAGACTGACGTGTTTGTAACTGCGACGTTCATCGCCCAGACCACTAGTGCCCCCCTCTCCCCGACACAAACACACAGCCACACGTGTGCAGGCCGCCCACCCAACCCCGACACACACGAGAGTAGACACGTGAGCGTGCCACAACGCATGTGTTGGTATGAAAAAAGGCCGCTGGTTGGTCGCATGCAATCAGTTAAGTGTATAATGGTTCATGATTCAGGTGCAATGGATGGTTTCCGGGAATAGATAAAGTTCGTTGTGGGAGAAAAAAGAGCAAAGCCACGTCTGTGGGGGCTGTTCACCCTGGAAGCGACCTTGTTGAATCCGAGCTCGCTGATTGAAGTGCTCGTTGAATCCGGGTTATTTTTATTGATTTTAAAGAAGAATAAAAACGGGGAATCTATCTCATCTCGTTGAAACCGAGTTCCACTGTATGTGAATGTGTCTGTGGAAAGTTGGGTGTGAAAACGCTTTGTTCGGTGTGAGGGGCAGTCTCACCAAATATCCGGTTTTCTAGACTTGTCTTACTCTTATGCAGGCTGTGCAGATTGTATTGAATATTTTCCTTTGTCAAGCTTTACCTGTCAGCGTGTTTCGCGGAGCGGAGCGTGCGTTTAGAGGGAGTGATCATGCGTTTGAACGTTTAAATTATACAGTAAAAAAAAACGTCAGAAGATGAATGTGTGCGTTTGAGCGGAGCGTGCATATGTATGGCGTGCGTTTAGGCAGAGACTACTGTACTTAAAAACACATTTCTGAGTGGATTTTACTACAAAGACGTAGATCAAAGGCTAATAAAAAAGTAAATTTACAATTCCCCAGCACACTCTAGCTTTGGAAGTCTCCACACTTTGGCGGCCTTTTTCTCGTTAATTTCATCTCTGACAGCAGATGATCCCCCGTCCCATTCAATCAAAAATATCTTGACGTCTGTTCAAGAAAGATGGATTTTTCTTTCATCAAAGCAAGACATACATGCAAGCTGTAATTAAGATGATAGCAATGACTCCATATGCCCAAAAAGTGCCTGATTCCACCATGTCATCACACACACACACATATAATATATGTGAGGCATCGTTGTGAAATCAGGCGCTCGTCAAACTAAAGAAATAAAAGATGGGCACTTATCCTCCAGTTTGACATGTTTTTCTAATTTCTATTTTTTGGTTCAACACCTTTTATGTCTATTTAAACTTTATTTGAAGACATATTTCTGCGTGGATTTACTGAAAAACTTCGATTAATATTACAAGAAATGTAAATTTTCAGTTTCTAAAGACTCTCAAACTCTGAAAATCACCAAAACAGTGGCGGCCATTTTCTCATCAATTTTACCTCTGAAACCAGGTGACCCCGACCTCCTTCCATCGCAAATATGAAGACTTCTATTCAAGATAGGTGTGTATTTTTTTCATCAAAAGATGATAAAATGAACAAGCTTTAAGATTATACCAATAACTCCAGATGCCCCAAAATTGACGAGCGCCTGATTCTATCGGGTCGCAACAGAATGGTTTGCTTCTTCTTTCCTATCAAACATTATCATCCTTGCCTCTCCTCCTTTCTTTTGCATGTTACTCTAGTACATCTAAACTTTGGCACACTTATACAACTGAATTATTTAGCTAATACAATCAAACTCTTACTAAAAAAACAAAAGAGGTCTACCTACCTTTTCTTCATAAAACTTTTTTCTGAGCATCGGGTCTTTGGGTGGCACAGTTGCACGTAACTGTTTGTACCAGCATCTCACAACATATCCTCTCCATTGAGACTGGATTCTTTTAGCATCCATGAAGAAAAACAGAGAAACAAGAATGCTTTTTTTAAAAAATGCAGTCAAAACTCTAACAAAATGTCAAAATGAACTCCCCAAATGGGTGGATCTGGGAGAATACTTTCAAAGTCATTTGATTTTACGACATCTGGGGAGTCCACTTTTTTTTCTCTGACAGCCCAAAACCAAAAATGTTTTAAACAGAATAGCTGTGCTGCCCTACCTCATTTGAGCATAAAATTTTGTGACAGTAGGTGAAAGATCACAAGCTGTTGGATCATACGAAAACCAACAAAAACAATAATATAAAAGAAAAATTTTGAGTGCCCCTGTGCAAGTAGCGCATGTAAAGATCCCTTGGTGGTCTAAAATCGATAAGAGTAGGCTTCGGCCACCACCCGGGCGAAATTCAAAATTCCCTACCTACTGAAAAAGTTTAACGTGTCCTGCATGCTTATATGACCTTATGCAGTTGCGAATGCCGTAAAACACTTACACAACCCCCCATGTCTTAGCCTAGGAATACAAATTAGAAAAAATTTGAAGACTATAAATCTGTCTGCCCCGGTCAATATCAGTCGTAAGATGCACGGTTCTATTTATCGGCTATGAGGCTCGAAAGGCAAAAAAAGTGACTTTCCAGGAAATTTTTGCTTTTGGATATATTGAAAGTTTGGTGTCTTCTGCTTCATATAAGATAAAAATAAACAACTTTAATCGACTATAAATATTTTATTTTGATTTATTTTGAAGGTATGTGTGATTTGTTGTGAGCTTGGGTGACGAGATAAAGGAATTTGGACCTTGCTAGTGTGTAGCTGTGAGATTATTTTTTTTAACCATTTCCTCGTGGCCACCTTTGCTTCAACCAAAGATTCTCCACATTGGAGTATCTTTGCTTCAACGTTCTTCATTCGCAACTATTTTTAGATTTTGACCTGTTTTCGAGCATGAATGGTCTGAAATGTAGACAACTCTGATTGGTAAAACGGAGTAAAAACGGCAACTTCTAGGTCACTTCAAGCTTGTTTACGTAAACAGCTGACTGTGTGGGTGTGCCCTGCTAGCTGTTATCGTCTGTTGATCTTTTAGTTTTACACTTGGGTTGACTTTAAAAATTCGTTTTCATTGTGTTTTAGCGCTTTTAAAAGATTAATTAACCTTCCTCTAGATCTCTCAAAGCGGACTCCTAACACTAGCATCTGCGTTTGTTGCGGCAGCGATTTTAGGCATTTTTGGGTCTGCGAATCGCGGCCGCGATTTTTGCATTTTTCAAAAAAGATAAAATAACAAAGCTATTTCAAAACATATTACACATGTATTTTGATACGCTTTAAGATGTCCATGTGTATCTATTTTCATGCGGAGAATATAAGTACATTACATTACAATACTATTTATATTGCTGTCTGTCTTTTATTTTTCCCTCTTTGTTGTGTTTTAATTTGTTGGTGTGTTAATTTTTCAAAAAAATATTCTTAGGATTTATTTTTCTCTTCTTGTGTTTATACAGCATAATATAATGTCATTTAATTTTATGCTGCGCCTACCCTTTTAAAAATATAAATTTTAATATGTTATGTTAGAGCGTGTCTCCACCAAAACCGAATACTGACACTGGCAGGCCCCTTGTGTGTGATTCCATAATTTACATGTAATATCATGTAGTCCTACTTTTAAAAAAATTACACACGTTTAGGGTTAAAACAGCCAATCTTCGGATAGGTGGACATGCGCCCTAATTAAATTTGTTTATTTTTGCAATTATTTATCCGGGCTATTCTAATTTTGATTTCATTCTGATGTGAAACCTTTATTTTTCTCGTTTTTACACTCCGGGTGACTACAAATGATATTCTGGATGCTTGAAACTGAGCACAAGAAATTCTAGTGCCTGAGATTGGTACCTCTATCAACATATTGCAATATACGTCATCACAGAGAGTTGTTCGAGAACGAGGAAGAAAAAGAACAGAGAGTTGAAAGCTTAAAAATTTATGGCAACTTTTTTGGCAACTTTTGCCACTTTTTGTGGCAACTTTTAGTAACTTTTGGACAAAAAAATGGCAACAAACGCAGATGCTAGCTTACCAAGAGGCCAGCGAGGCGGTCTATGTGCATGTGTGTGTATGTATGTTGGTGTGTTTGTATGTGTGTGTATGAGTGTGTGTGCGTGTGTGTTTGTGTGTGTGTGTGTGTGTGTGCTCTCGTGTATTTATGGTGCTAGAGCAAATGTATAATTAGGTACCGCAAACATAGCAAGTAAGCCGACTCATGGCCTTCCGAGTGCGTGGTTTCGGTAGAATGGAAGTAATTCAATTCTCAGTTTCTTTGCTCTTTTGCTATAAAATACCAAATGCTGAACACTTTGAAAAAGGTCAGATTTCCTTCTTTAGAATAGTGTAAGTTGTTTTGTATATTATAATCTGAGTATGAGCTGGAGAATCGCTGTGGAAAGGGAAGCCCCTCGAGGTCGGAATGCGAGGTGGGCCGGTTCAAAATTGACACCCATGCATTCGAATGCTTTGCAGAAAGATTGATGGTTAAATACCATCTTTTCATTGGCGGAGAACTATACAGCTTTGAGCGTGGTTTCCTGTGGTTATTATTTTTGGCGTTTGGCGTTTGGATAGAAAACCTTGAAAAAAAGCGTCTAAGTTTTCAAAGATCATTTTAAACACGAAAAGTGTAATATACCGTCGAAAAAAGGTACCAATAGAAAGAACCTTTCTTTTTCTATTAGAATAAAGTTATCGGCTTGGAATTATTTTACATGAATCCATCCGCGAAACTACCAGGAGCACTCAGTATACTACAGTATTGGGCCGACTCGCTCGCCGCGAGGGCAGGTGCATTGCTGGCGAGACAACTAACTCTCAGTGTTTTAATTGAAATAAAACCGATCATCGGGTTTGAGGCAATACAATACTGATTTGTAATGATCTCACAGTCATGAAAAAAATTAGGCTTCATTTCTTTGTTATAATAATTGTACTCTGTTAATGTAGAGATGTTTGGTGCACTTGGTACTCTTTTATTATCTGTCAAACATGGGATTGCAGCCAGTTACCGACTTCAGCAATATTTGATTACCACATTAAATTGAAACAGTTGCCATTCTCTTAAAATTTGACTGAGAAATAAAAGTATGGTACCAAAATTCTCAGGAGACATAGGCCTTTTATATGAAACAGATGAATCTGACTTACAGCTACTTTGAAAATTTAGTATCTGGTACCTAGTATAATCTAATATTTTGTTGCATTTGATGGGAAGTCCATTCTCGTGAAAATTCTTTTTTTTTTCATAATTTTTTTTACTGTTAATGAATGGTTTTCTACTTCTGTATGTTACCTTGTAGTGGCATAGCCAAGATAACTGCTAAATTTCAAGTCTCTATCTCAATTCTAAGACCCCCATTGCTGTGGAAACATGTTGCTCTACTTCGGAGGCCATTTTCTCCTTTCGTATTTCAGCACCTCGCACAATTAAAAGTTATGTATATTCGTCAAATATTGTCATATTTAAACTAAAACATTCTTGTTTTAAATTGTAGGGAAAAGGTGATAGTTTTTTAAAATAATGTTAACTCAGTTTTGAAATTTCCTTCACATGACTGATATTGACCGGCAGGGACACAAATAACCAAACCTTGTCAACCCTATTACTGAACACATATTCCTCAAATGTACTGTTGTGTTCAGGACACACAAGTTTGATTCTCATGTGGGGAGGACTTTTAATGAGAATCTCCGTCTTTCTGCTGTTATTTCGTTTTCCTCTGGGCCCAGGTAGCCAGTGGCATAAAATTTGTTATAATTACACACATTTTTTACCTAGTAGCACTCTTGTGTTTGTGCATCCGAGCTCCTTCGTGTATGACCCGGGTTTGATACTGCTCGTGACGACACATAGGACATGTCTTTTTTCCCGTAAATCTCTCAAAGGCTTGAAGGCAAGCCTAGGATAATCAAAACAGAAAGCAAGTGAGAATACAAGGAAGTCAATAAATCAATAAAGCTATGAAAATTACAAAACTGACATATATAAAAATTACTGAAATTAAACATTGAAACCAAGGTAAACAATGCCCACTCGTCAAGAGAAGTCCTCGAGGAAGGCCTACCTCAAGGTTCCTCTCTGAGTTGCACTTTGTTCCTGATCTTCTTTAAAAATGTAACGAATGTGCTGAAATCAGAAAAGACTCTTTATGCCGATGATCTTGCTCTCTGGCAGACACATCACAGCATGATAGTAGGAGCAGGGAAATTAAATGAAGACCTCAAGAGGCTCCACAATTACTGTCAGAAATGGAAACTTAAAATAAACTGCACGAAAACAGTATACACCATCTTCACGAAGAGCCATAAAGCAGCCAAAGAAAATCTCAAACTGAAGATAGGAAATGAAAGTCTCCCCAAAGAAGAACATCCAACTTACCTAGGAGTCAAACTTGACCATAGGCTAACCATGAAAAGCCAAGTGGAGAACATAAGGAACAAGGCAAAAAAAAGACTCCAACTTTTAAAGAAACTCGCAAGCAGTTCATGGGGATCAGACAAACAAACTCTGAGAGCTCTACACCTTGGTTATGTCCGATCTTCCCTGGAATACAGCAATAGCCTACTCATTATGTGCAGTACAACTACTTGCAGCACCCTTGACAAGGTCCAAAACAATGCCCTTTGTTTTATAAATGGTGGCATGAGATCCACACCTACCGCCGCGTGCGAAATCCTCTCAAATGTTGAACCCCTGGGAATCCGCAGAGATAAAGTAGTTTTGAAGCTACATGAAAGAACTTAAAGAATGTGCCCCAACCACCCAAACAGGAAATTAGTAGAAACATGGAAACCAAAGAAACGAATTCAACAAAAGTCAATCAAGCATCACATCACAGAACTAATGGAGAGTCACCATCTACCACAAACAGAAAAGAAACCAAAAGAGTCAACCAAAACATCCCTCCCCACCTTTCTTTAAAAAAGCCAATCTTTACATCTATCAGAGACAAGAGCACAAAATCGTCAGACCCAGTGACGCTGATGCTTGCATCACATCAAACAATCGACAGCTATTCAGATGACTGGATACGCGTCTATACGGACGGCTCAGCATTCAAAGGCACAACCAAAGCCGGATATGGAATACTAATACAGTACCCAGATGGAAGTTCCAATGAGATCTCTGCAGCCTGTGGAGAGAAATGCAGCAACTATGATGCAGAAATGATGGCAATTGAAACAGCACTGTACCATCTCCGCACAGTTTTTGACACGCATCCTGGAAAAGCACAGAATATTGTGATTTTCACTGACTCACTATCAGTATTACAAGCCATAGAAAATGACCATCATCTAAACCAAGATTTGACCCATATACTGTTTGGATCCCATCATCTGATAACATTCTGTGGCATCAACCTAGTAATGCAGTGGGTCCCCGGACACTCAGACAAACCTGGAAATGACAGAGCAGACACACTTGCCAAACGGGGATCTAGACAGGAACAACCCAACATTCCAACTTCATACAGCACTGCAAAACAAATCATCAAAAGCAACGACAAACAAGATTGGATGAACAGATGGGCCCTGGGAAAGACAGGCAGAGCAGTTTTCAAACATATGACCACAACGAAAAGGAATGACAATATCAACCACATACAGAGAAAGAAACAGACCGCGATCTTCCGCCTACGAACAGAACATATACAGCTCAACTTCCACCTGAACAGAATAAACCCGGAACTTCCCCCAATGTGTCCCTTGTGTGACTATGCATATGAGACTGTGGGTCATCACCTGTTCCACTGCACAGCCCTAAATGACATCAGAGCTACCCTTCTCCCTCCGAGACCTAATATTGACAATACACTCTATGGAACATTACAGCAACTGCAGCAAACCTGCACTTATCACTACATGGCATTGGATAGAAGGGCGAGAACCCAGCTGTTGCTGGATCGATAAAAACAACAACAACAGCAACTGAAATTAAAAAACCTTTCGGGCAAGTAGAGACGTTATCATCATAAATCTTGTTCATTTGTCTGTCTTTCGATGAATAAAATACCCGTTTACCTTGAATAACAGCTGAGATATTTGCGATTGAAGGAGGTAGGTGTCACCTGGTTGCAGCGGAAAAATTAGCACAAAAAATGACCATCAAAGTTTGGCGACTTCTAAAGCTTGAGACTCCTTGAAAACTAAAAATTTGTTTGTGTGTCTTTAATCTGTGTTTTTTAATCAACACGCAAATGTATTTTGAAAAGGAGATAAAAGGCGTTGAGCCAAAAAAGTAACATTCTATTCAATTTACCAAACCATAAAAAAAAAATACTGCTCTCTTTGCTTACAACATTTTGATGAGGACCTGATTTCTCTCCAATCAATGCCTCACAAATACAGATTTCTTTACAAATTGCCTTTATCATAAATGATATTGTAAAATGAACTATAGTAATATTATGATGGGTCTATGTGACAAAGGCTTGACAAGGGGCAGCTGGACTGACATGAGCACAAACATTACCCTATGGAAGACGTGCGTACAGGAGAGAAGAACTTGTTCTTGAAGGCCAAAGTCTTCCTTGCAGATGACGCAAGGTTCCCCAGAATCATCTCGTTGATTTGACTTGGCCTTGACATGGTTCCACTCTTGCTCCGATAACAGAGGTTTTGGAGCATGAACCAGACCAAACTTTTGAGCTTAAAAAAAACACACAAAAAAAGGAGAAAAAAAATATTGCTGGCAGTTAAACAAAAAAAGGTGTTAAAAGAAGTAAAATAAATAGAGAGGTGTAATTTTGACTAACTGAGTGATGATGTTTACTTCAAAGCATGATGCTTAGATTTTTCAGAGTCCCTCAAGTCAGTGGGTAATGGTGAAAGTGAGCATGAGCATTTAGTTTCGTCAAAAATGTATAAGCTCTTTGTCCGCTAATAAAAGGACACATGTACAACTTGTGCTACAATGAATACTGAACTTAAAAACCAAACGGCAAAGTCTCAACTCAGTTCGAACTGCATCTTGAATTCTTTAATAGAGAATGAAATTCCTTATAAAAATAAGGAAGTGTCTCCCATGAATATATTTTGCTTTGCGCATGCGTGACCTCACGAATCATTTCCTTCTGCTTCCAATTGTTGTCATTTCGTTTTCCCAAAATGGCGGGGATGGTTGCATCGGTGGCAATCGAGACATAAAAGTAAAAGACAAGATGCAATCTAGATCTACGCCTAGTACCGGCCGAATAGTGAAACACACATGCACACAAAAAATATAATTTAACTTCGTAATCGGGCGTTAAATAGCGTTCCCCATGTGAAATTTGCAAATTTTGGGTCGCTGATCACAAAAATCTTATTATCTTTTTCATTTGGACAATATTTAGGAAATTTTTAGAATGCATTTTTTATGCTGCCTTGGGCAACAATAAAGAATCCGCCCTATGCACCGGATCAGTCCTCCTGTCCTAGTGCGGTATCTGTTTTGACATGCAAGAAATCCACGGTGGGAGAGGACAGTCCTGTCCGAGACAAAAATGTCATAGTGTGGTAGTCAAGTAGTAGCCTTATTCAGTCTCTCTTTCTCTCAATTCCCCCCCCCCCCCCACACACACATTTTCTCTCCCTCTTTTTCTTTCTTTCTTTGTCCCTTCCTTTCCGTCTGTCTTTTATTCTCTCTCTCTCATTCTCTCTCTCTCTCTCTCTCTCTCTCTCTCTCTCTCTCTCTCTCTCTCTCTCTCTCTCTCTCTCTATCTCTATCTCTCTCTCTCTCTTGGATAAATAACCCACCCAGGTTTAGAATGAAAAGACCACAATTTTAATCTTCGAGGACCAAGATCCTGCCCCCCTAGACTCTTCCTATAAATAATGCCCCCAATGTGACTAGATGCTAGTAATTTTACCAGAAAAAGGGAACAACATGCATACCTAATGTGAGAGGAGGCAACTTTTCATCAAGAACATACTCTTTCTCTTGCCCTTCCTCCTTCGCTTGCTTTCTTTTTCCTGAAAAGATTTTAAACAATTTATTGGCCATTCAAGTAAACCAGCTCAGGAAGCAGAAAATGACATGAATTTCACTTTCACAAAGGTGAATAGGCCCTACCATTGTTTTCATACTCAAGGACAATCGGTTTACATAAAGTACGCACCTAGCATAGGCCTATATGCCCCGTGATCAGACTTCATAAGCGACAATTTTTGCCAAATCGACTTTTTAACACAATCACATTCTCCTGATTACGGTGCACATGCCAACACAAAGATTACCTGAAAAAATTTCATAATAGTGTCTTTTATCGTAAGTAAACAAAACTCGTAAATCCACCCCTACCCAGAAGAGCACGTGATCAGAACTCGTATACATCATCCTGCCGTTTATGAGCTTTGATTACAATGGAACACACTGTTTCAAGACGGGTCATCGACGCGTACGAGTGGTCAGAGCAATTCCTAACTACTTTCTATACACCTGGTTCACCATGTTCTCTCATTCCTTCTGCACCAGTCACAATCGACACATTATCTCCTTTTGTCGAATCTGCATTACTTGTGACATCTAATTAATCACATCCGTCTGTGGCCCTTATGGTCAATCTCGAACCATCTTCTCTGTCTGGTTTATCACATTCTCAGATGTTCAATACTTTGGGTCACTTGGCGCAATAATGCACTCGTGAAAATTATCCGTTTCGGTCACCTGGCGCTGCGCAATTCTGCGCCAGACCCGAGAAGTCTGTTGCAGTCACTCTCCTGGCTGGGTGAACTGACGGGGTATTTTGTACTTCTGGCTGTGTGATTGCAAAGTATTAAATTGTTAAATTTATTTGACATCAAAACGAACTAATAAGTGAGTAACCTTAAAAATCAATCAAACGTAAGCCTGATTTAAATACAGTCCATGCCGGCTTTAAGCACGGTCATCGGGAGAAAGCTTAAGCTTCAGGTAGAACATTTCCCGTGCTATTTCCCTTTGTTTGTAAGTAGGCCTATAGCGGTCCAGCAAAAGTGTGCGCTGTTATTTTTACCCGCCATGGTAGTTTTTGTTTGCTTGTTTGTTTTTGTTTTGAGGTCGAATGGGAAATGAAAACTTAATTCAGACGGCCAGTCACGATACAGTACACGAGGCCTACACACTGCATGTGTGTACCACTGCCCGCTGTGCCACGTTCATACCACCGCCTTCATCCCACCTCGTGCGTGATACACAATCAGGATTAATGGAAAACGAGAGTCAAAGGTGAAATTGCAGCCAGCCGCCCTTTCTCGTCTCCCTGACTCTCTTTGTATTTTTTAGTCTGTGTGTAACTAAAGTAACTTTGCCCTAGACTAGATCCTATGTCCACGCGCGCGGCTGTGTGCATCTCTCTGCCTTTCTCTCCGCCCGTGTGAGTGTGTGTCTCCATCACTTGCGTTCTCTGTGTTTCTCTTAACACACTCCACTGCTGTGTTCAAACTTCGAGGGGTCATCATAAAAGTATGACTGTCTTGTAAATGAAGCGTGCTTGAAGCCGAAGTTACCGTGCTTAAAGGCGTGTAATTTATATAGCAAAAATTCGGTAAGAGCCGTTTAGCGAGCTTGAGTCCGAAACGTGCTTTAAGCCGGCGTGCTTATAGCCGGCACGGACTGTACATGTAATAGGCAGTAATTTAAGTCTCATTTTTGCAACAAAGACATAAAAAAAAATAGTAGTAGTAGGCTAAGCTATTCTGTTAGTAAAGTACCTCTATTCAATCCTGTATCAATGACAGACTTGGCCTGAGGTTTATGTCTTGCCCGGGCAGCCGGTCCAAGACCTACTTTGCGTGGTCCAAAGTTTGGACCCAGGGACAGTGCCCGTGACCAATGGTCTTGAAGGGCCACAGCAGTGAGTGTCAAACTGGAACCATCTGTACCCTGGAAATCAATAGAAATTCAAATAACAATCAAGGCCCAAATAAAAATTAAAGAACTATACTATATATATAGGTTTATAATCTCAGAATATATAGATTTAAATGTGTTATGTTAGAGTGTACGTTCCACCAAAACCGATTACATGGACTGACACTGGCAGGCCCTTTAATGTGTGTGTGTGTGATTCCATAATTTACATATATGTAATATCCTGCACTTTAAAAAAATGTATGCACATTTATGGTTAAAACAGCCAATCTTCTTCGGACAGGTGAACACACGCCCTTATTTGTTAATTTTTGTGGTTGTTTATGGGCTGTTCTAATTTTGATTTCATTCTGTTGTGAAACCTTTCTTTTTCACGTTTTTACACTC